AACTTAGATTTTGATATTACTTGAATTTACATGTAATATTGACTATGCTATTGATGTCTGAACGTTGAACTACTGGTTTTTCAAAATGCCACTGTTATTGATCTTTACGCCTGGACTATATAAGACTGTTCAGTGCAATTATTCAGTCATAAAAGTTGGAAAGTATACATAGACTTCATGATAGCTACTAACCTAACAACTCTTGCACTGAATTGAAAGATCATGGCTAAATATACTGAAGTTCAGCTGTTGATGATAATTATATAATTCGCATTTTCAGACATTGGGACTGTCAACTATTCCAAGGAGATTTACGAAGACCCGGATCGAATCTACGAAACGCTAAAGGATGATGGAGATGAAGTACCACCAAACGAACCTGGAACATCCTCCGACATCTATAGCAACCTGGACAGTAATATCGTCGGTACCGTTCCAGCATCGACTGAACAAGAGTACACTTATGCTAACGATACAGATTTGCACAGATCTAGTGTAGGTGCGAAACCAGCGGCCAAGGGACCTATACGTAATGGTGCTGTGTACGAAACTTTAGAACAGCCTGGACAACGGACTGATGATGATTTCTATAATTACCCTGATAACACCACCATCGCTATAAACCATGGCTCATCAGAACTAGAGTATATCTATGCCAAAGATATAGATCTGCCTAGAGCTACTGCAAATACAAAGGCAGTGCGCGAGAGAAATAGTGAGCCAGCTACCAGTGGTGATCTGTACCATACTCTAGAACAGGAGGGACCAGCATCAACTGAACAAGAGTACAGCTATGCAAAGAATACTGATATGCCTTCGATTCCTTGGAGTATCGTGCAAACGAGCAACGGACATTCTTCTCCTGTTTCCAACAGTGCACTGTATCATACACAGGAAGAACCAAATCCACCTCAACCACCTGTTTATTCAACGTTGGAAGAACCAGATGTAGGAAACCCCCAGGTAACTAAAAATATTATATATGAAATGTAAACGTTCTCCCCGTTTGCCTTTGTACTGAGAAGGAACATATTTGGTAAGTCAATAAGCTGTGGCAGCGACCCCGCCACACTATTTGTTGTAATTTTAATTAAATTGTAATTTTATGCTGGCGAAGCTAATAAATTAAATCAAATTAATTTATATATAGGTAACAGATGAAATACCAAATTGCAGTGATCACACATATATCGATGTTATCGAAGATTCCAACTGCACAGATTCCCGACATGCTGACAACTCATCTACTACCGCATAGACTGACTGCATGCATGTTATATTCAATATTTATCACAAAAACTGCTAGTCTTTCAAACATGTACTATAGACATTCCATCTATACTACAATACTTAATGCCAAATGCATGTGGTTTTATAAAACAACTATATTTTGTTTAATATATATCTAATTAAATAACCAAGGGTGAGGATTATACGGTAAAATGTTAAGGTCTTGCTGTTACGGAAATGGCAATAGAAATTAAGTTTGCAACACTAAACAACTGGAAAAGAGCACGAATAATTATTTTAAAATGAAACCATGGTTTCAAAAGTAAATTCAAGTTAACTCTAAATAAAACTTAGTTTAAGTCATCTGTTCATAGAAATATATATCTTTTTATGTATATTACTAGTACTATATATAAAAATTTTCTTGTTATATACAAAAATTTTCTTGTTATATTATGTTAAAACTTTTGCATGCATAATAAACAGCGAGGATTTCATTTTCATTGTGTAAAACTGAGTGGGTGTTTTTAGGGTAACAATTTTCAATCACATTAATGATTTTCCACTAATGATTCTCACGCTTTGTATAAAGTTCACGAATAGTTAATTAATGAGCTATGTTTCATTTTCCAACAATCCTACAATTTTGGTACACTTCCACCGGACTGGTCAAAGGCCCTTGCTTCTGCTGTTTTTAAAAACGACTTAAAATCCAACCCAGCCAATTACCGTCCAATCTCTCTGACGTGTCTGTGTTGCAAAGTCATGGAACATATCATTCTTAGCCATGTTTCAAAGCACTTAGCATATCATGATATTCTAATTAATGAACAACACGGATTTCGCAAACTATTTTCGTGTGAGACTCAACTAATTACGGCAATCAACGATTGGGCAAAAAGTATCAACAGGAAGAAACAAACCGATGTGACTCTCTTAGACTTCAGTAAAGCCTTTGATTCTGTTCCTCATCTTCGTCTGATGTCCAAATAAGACCATTATGGTATTAGAGGACTTTCCGCCAATTGGATCAAGGCTTTTCTTTCCAACCGCTCTCAAGTTGTCTCGGTTAATGACTCCCACTCTCACTCTCAACCTGTCATATCTGGAGTACCTCAAGGAACAATTCTCGCACCTGTCTCATTTCTTCTCTATACAAACGATATTTCTGAGAATATTAAATCCCAAATTCGCTTGTTTGCTGACGATGGAATCATTTATAGAGAAATTAATAACGATCAGGACCACGTCACGTTACAAGAGGATTTAGACAATCTAAATAATTGGGCTAACAAGTGGCAACTAAATTTCAATTTCCCAAAATGCTACCACCTAGGAATTACAAATAAACGTGTCCCTGAAACATATAGCCATATGATGAATAATCAAATCATTAGCAGAGTATCTTCTACCAAATACCTGGGCATTACTATAAACCACAACTTGAACTGGAACAAACATTGTGACATCATATGTAGTAAGGCAAATAGTACTCTTGGCTTACTTAGAAGAATCCTTGGTGAATGTAGCGCTGCTGTTAAGTCAAGAGCGTATACTAGTCTTGTCCGTCCACAACTTGAGTATGCTTCTACAGTCTGGAACCCTTACACCAAGAGGAACATCAGCAAGATCGAGATGGTTCA